GACACACACACAACTTAGTAAGACACACACACACAAACACATCAGTGAGACACACACACACACACACACACACATTATAGAGACACACACACACACACACATTAGTGAGGGAGAAACACAAACATCAGCGAGATAGACACACATTAGTAAGAGAGAGTCAGACAGACAGACACACACACACACACACATTAGTAAGAGACAGACAGACACACCGAGAGGGACTGGCACACATCAGTGTGTGAGACACACACACCCAAGTTAGTGAGGGAGACATAAACATCAGTGAGAGACACACACTTTAGTGAGAAGGACACACACACACACACACATTAGTGAGAGAGAAACACACAAACATCAGTAAAATAGACAGACACACACACACATTAGTAAGAGACGGACATACACACACCAGAGTTAGGGAGAGACACACACACATTAGTGAGGGAGAAACACACAATTATCTGAGAGACAAACAGACATGCACACACACACAGTAAGAGACAGACACATACACGTCAGTGAGACACAGACACACATCAGCGTGTGTGAGAGCGAGAGGTGTAAAGTAAATCAATGGATTAACTTAAACTCATCACACCTGAAATAATGGAGTGTTTTCAACATTTGCAGTCATAAAACAAAACAAAACCCTTCAGGTGTGTGTTGATCTAACTGCTCCCTGCTTTATGGGGACCCTACATACACTTCTGTTGTTTTTAACAGGTGCAAAACTATTTAATTACACATTCATTTGTAACCCAGTAACATGTCAATAGTGGGATGACATGATGTTAGTGATGACATTTGAACCCTCACACTTATAAACCCCCACACACACACACACACACTCTCACACACACACAACGACAATGTCTCATGCAGTAAGACACAAACAATCTTCATACAACTATACTCTCATAGACACACACACTCATGACATAAATCACTAAGACAGACACACACAACCATAATCTTTTACATTTAGACAAACACATCAGTCAGAAACAGACACACAAACTTCCACACACAAAAACAATTTCAAACACACACACACACACACACACACATTATAGAGACACAAACACTACAGTTAGAAAACAAACACACAAAAACTTTCATGCACACGAACGCATTTGTACAC